AAGCCGGAAAAAAGGCATCGCCGCGCGCGTGTCGCCGGGCAATGGTAGCGACAGCCCCGGCAGCCCCTGGCCCTTGTCTCCGCGGTCCCCGTCCCTGGGCTCCGTAGGAGGAGGCAGAATCCCTGCGCTCCCGCTTCGGATTCCATGCAGCCGGCTGCTCGGGAATGGTGGGCATGGCTGGGGACAAGGGAAGAGGGGAAAATGCCTTCTGCGGCGGAGAGGCAGCCTGCTAGTTCGCATTGCTCTCGGGCTTGGACTGATTGCTCCAAAGCAGTAGATCAAGATTTTCACAACCAAGCCACGGAGAGGGAGGAAAATCATCCTTCAGCCCAGTCTTTTGAAGGCTTCTCCATTATCATTCCAAAATGCTGCCTAGCAGGACTGCTTAGCCAGTGCTAGCTGTTAGAGATTGAGACCTCCTGTGTGTGTTGTGGAGCCAATATAGCCTCATTTCCGGGGCTTGGGGTACGCGAATGTTTCTGCTATTCATTTTGGAAATAAAAAATACTTCTTGAGTTGTATGGGCTAGATAAAGTGTACAAGTTAAAGGGACCGTTGGGCAGGAAAGAAATCGTACCCTGTCCTTATTTAACAGCAAGACAAGAGGAAAAGCCGTGTAGCTGTACTAATGTTTGAAGGTTAGTGCTCTATTAAGACTTGTTTTTCTTAAGGTAGCAAAATTCACCTCAAATTTCAGGAGCCACCACCTTCATCGTGGTGATCCAGCTCCCTTTGTTGTGATTCAAACTGCTGCTCTTTTGGTGTTTGCTACAAGCCTTCTTTGGTTATTTAGCTGAAAGCACTAATGGTAACTGCATTGTCTCCTGTTACTACACCAAACCAAAACAACAACAAAATGAGCAGAGATGCAAATCCTTTGCCTATCCATTTCCAAATGGTCTGAGGTTCTTACAAGGAAAATACTGACGTTCGGCTCATTTAGATGAAGTAATATGTAGTCTATCTTGAGGGATGCATGGGGGAATTGGAAACCTTCAATATTAGCTTTAAAAAAGTGTGTTTAATTGCAATGCAAGTTAGCCAGAGAAAAAACAGTGCGCTGTAATTTTTGAATGTACAAGCAATTTAATACTCTTGAGCAAGTGTAAGATTGCAAAGTCTTCCTTTGGCTGGCTTGCTCCCTCAGGCAGGAGTTGGTTGTTGAAGGAACATGGAATGATTTGTTTCTCAGTCTAGACAATTTATCCCACATGTCTCCAGCGCTGTACATTTAAAGTTGTGGCATGACCTGTGTCCTTTGTTTCCTAGCAGCATGTGTGTCATAGTATTCATACATTCCACAGGTTGTGATGTCATCAGGGTTGTGTCCATCTCTATTCTAGAGTGGAGCAGAAGGTGATGCTGTAGGAGTGTTGGACTTTTATTTCCCCACTGCTCTTGTTAATTAAATTACACAGCACACATCCTGTTGCTTCCCTGAGATACAGTGGGTTGTGTTGTCTGCAGGCGATAAAAGAAGTGATTGCTTTGTTAGGTGCATGTTAAATACCAGCAGGTTTTTGTTGAAGAGGTAAGACCACCCATTGAATCTACTGACTGGACAGTGGTACATTTTGCATCTGTTACAACATAGTAAATTACAAAGCTATGTTCCTCAAGGCATTTCACAGTCTTGCTAGAGAAACCAGATTACCCTTCCCATGAAACAAAAATTGTAAGATCTTAAAAATTGTTAATTGTTAGCCTGTTAAATGTAATGGTGTTTTTTTGGGGGGGGTTGGGAAGTGTGTGTTGTTTTATGTGATTTTTTTTATTTATAAAGGTGTGGCATGTGCACCTCCTTAGCCAGCACTGTTGATTTATGAAACATAATTTCTAGTGATTTGAGAGGGTTGAAGAACATTAACGTAGATTTGTTTCCATTGTTTCCTGATTTCTTGAGGATTTATGGGCTTGGATGCCCTATAGAACAAGAGTAAAGCATCAAGAATGGCAAAATGTATTAGTATTTGGTGTTTCTGTAGCACTGTAAGCATGCATGACCTAAGCAATTGGTCACTGTGTCCAACCCAGAACGTTTTCCCGGCCTTCTGGATTTTTCACCTTGGGAGCACGACTAGGTATGGTACCAATAAAAACAACTGTGAGAGACAGAGAAGAGTGTGGTTATTGGAAGAGGGAGTGCTCTCTAAAGACTAGCACTGGGGTCATTTAGCAACTTGTGAGCTAAGTGAATATGGGAGGGTTGGTGTGCATTTACTAGTGGATTATTTTACACTGCACTTGAAATAAGGTGCAAAGACAAGTGAAGGAGGTGTGAAGGAGAGCCGGAAAGGGCTATAGAAAGCATCAGAATATGTAAATTAGCATGGCATTTTGACTGTAAATGTTAGCTGGACTGCAGCCTGCCCATTTAAGTTTCCCATGGATGCTGGCTCAGGTTTTCCCAAGAGAAATCCAAAGTTGCATGGTAGATGTGAATGTGTCTGTCCTTCTAGGGTGATTCTGGTGAGAGAACTCATTTTCTTGGCATGCCTCAATCTAGGCAAAATCCAGAAATGAAACTCATCAGCTTAATATGAGCTATGCTTAGGTCATGCTGGGTGTTGGGCCTCATAATCTTGATAGATTAATGGGGCAAGTTCTCAGGCTGTTAGATAGCATAGAAGTGAACACAGAGACCTGCCGCTCGTTTGCAGTAGTCATCGGTTGGGCTGCTTGCTGTAGTGGGATTAAAAGGCATTTACTACACATGCAAGAATTCATTGACCTCACTCCAGTTCCTTCAGCTTCTAGCTGGTCTGTGCTGATGTCCTTTCCCTCCCATAGCTGCCCAGTTGTGATAGTAAGAATACTGAAAATGCAGCCTAACCATACCTAGACATAGTAGTTTAAGTATTTATAGCATGATGAACCATGTCATGGCTCCGTTTGGAGCCATTTACTTTCCTATGGGATACTTATAGAACATTGGAACAAATAATTGATCATTCTTAAGTATGACCGAGCCAGCTGGTGATGCAAAGTTTTCACATCAGCTGTTGGGCAAGATTTTTCAAACTGTTGCATCCCCTAAGTCCTTATGTAGACACCTAGGCAAGTTTTCTAGTCTTCACAAGTGCTGAGCAACCGGCAGTAACCACCGAGTTGAGAAGATCTCCAGTGCTGCTGTGGGCTCAGTAGATATGACAATCAAGCCACCTACTTTAGGTGCCAAACCAGAGATATAGGAGCCTTATCTTAGGCGCCCACTTTGAAACTCTTGGCTATTGATTTATAGAGAGCCTGGCTCTTGCTCCAATCTTTGATGTGATTCCTCACATCCTAACACGGTCTTTTTATTGCCCGTACTGTGGCTCTGAGTTAGTTGTAGTTAGAGTAATGCACAAGATACCCATTTAAAAACACTTGTTATTTGTCATATTCCAGTGTGTTGGCCACAGTGTGTTGAAGTTGGTTTGTGCAAGGACAACTTTGGTCTTTGGTTTGGTTGTCCCTAATGAATACTGGCTTCTAGCTACAAATTCTTCACATGTCACCAATAAACAATTTCATTCCAGACTAGGCTTTTTTGTAGCATGTGCGTGTCGATGTGTTTTTCTTCCCCTAACGCCACCAGTGGCAAAACTTCCATTGACTTTAATGGGAGAAGGCTAGACTCTGTAATTAAGTTTCTGTCAGTCTGGAGCCAATGGGGTGAGGTGAGGCAGAAAAGAAATGTGATAAATTGATGGGCCCATTGGACCGGTCGTGAGTTCTTCAGTGGTGTATATGAGGCGCTTGAAGCATGAAGGTTCAGCTTCAGGGCATACGTGTCGATTAATCGGTGCACCAAAGGTTTGTTTATGGCAGGTATTATCTGGCAGTCAGTAAAAAGTCAAATTTCTCGTCTCTGAACTACTTTTTCGATTATCCAGCAGCATTGTCCAACTGAACGTGCTCCGTTCATTTCCTCTAGCTGTGATTAGGATGACTTGGTGTATATAGACTGCAACAAAACACATTTGTAAATGTCTTTGTTGTGGACTGTGGTATGGTACAAATGAATACGGTACAATATTGCAAATCTGCCACCAGTTAATCACAATTTCATTGCCATATTTTTTCATGTATTCCTCAAACAATTGGCATACCCTTCTCAGGGAACACTAGTGAGTTCAGCAAGACTTGGATTGCAACTTGGAGGTTGGAAGGTGGAACATGTGTAAAAATGTGTATATATATATAAAAATGTGCATGAATATATATTTGACCATATAAGCCAATAGATCATTTTGTTGAGCTGTTGGAAAATATTGTGAGTTGTGCCACATCATCTGTACTTAAACACTTCAGTACAGAAATGCACAACATCTGAGAGTGGAGTCTGTAGAATATATTGTGTGCCATTGAAATAAATTCAGCTAGAAAACCTAACACAGATCAGGTCTTCAATTTCTGGGGTTTTGGAACCACTTAGAATGAACAGGCAAGATAGAGAAAAGAATAACTGTTGATCAAAATTGAAAAGGACTGGCACTCAAAAGAGACTTAGCTAGAGTACTATTTCAGATGTATTTCTATATATTTTCAGCATCACTGTTATAGAAGTTTTGATGTAATATCTTTGTAAGAAGCAGTATTTCAGTCTTAATGAACCAGTGTAAATAACTGAGAACTTGTAGTCTGCTATATGTATTTGAAAACAATATTTTATTTTTGAGACTAGTGAGAACTTAGAAATGAAAATCAATATAGATTCCTTTCATGACCCATGAAATCCAAACTTGCTTGGAGGAGAGTAAAGAAGTATTTAGAAGCTGACACATTCTGATCATATTAAAATATGCGTATGATTTAAATGACTACTTGTCATTAAGTTTACGTAGCATCTGCTACGTTATAGCATAACATTGTCAATTTTATGAAATGATATCTTTCATTTGGTAAATACTACAGTCAACATTTCAGCATTCAAGCAGAAGGAATTCTACTAATTATAAACTGGATACTTCAAATCTAACTCCAGCAAAACTTTGACTTCAGTGGAGACAAGGCTGGGTCCTTGGTTTAATTTTTCACGCTATTTTTGCTTTGAGAAGATTAAGCCAGATCCCCAACTGGATAAATTGGTATATACTGATTACACCATCCAAGAATCTGACTCATTGTGTCTGACTTCAGCTATGGGAATTGAATGTTTTCGAAACTGAAGTCAAACATTAAGACTTAAATACAGTAACCTGATTCTATAGAAGAATCTCCAAGATTGAGACTTTATGACCATGCAGAGTTACACTGAAGTCATTGGGACATCAGTATATGGGCATAAGGGTTTTTGGGTGATTCCTGCCTTACAAAGTATACATGGAAGTGGTTCTGTTGTAAATAGGTCCCTCATAAGGAGTTGAAATGTTTGATTCTGTTGCCCCAAAGTTGATTTCTCCTGTTCTGAAAAATGACCTAAAGGAGGTCTCCCAGAAAGTACTGTAAATCTCCCAGAAAGTACTTATGTTTTAATTATGATATATACATACCACAGAGCATGTTTTTAAAAAAGTATCAGTCTTCTTCCTAATGACCCTTTAACCCATACCCCCCAAACAACCACGTAGCTAGTAAGACGTAAATCTGTTGTTTGGCCTTTGGAAGAGGACTCTCTTCAAAATGAAAGCCATCAGAAAGTTTGGCTAATCCT